AGATGTTTACTGAAAAATAAATGCCAGAACCGTGTTCCTGGTCATCCAGTCTATAAAGTCGGGCACAATTTAACTGGTTTTAACAACATTTTAGAAGGTGGGATAGTTCCTTTAATATCGGGTACCAACTACCAAGCACTGCGTGTCGTAACGTTTGACGAATAATAGGTGTTTTGAAGCAAAACTGTGCGGTCACTTGGCGTTTTGCACAAAGCTTTACCGATTGCTAATTCGCCCTCACCGTGCCCTTGTTTTACAAGTATTGTAGGCCTGATATCCCTTCGGCCTTTACCCTAGGCCAGTTATTATTTGAAGTTTTGTTCATCGCACTGCGTCATGCTGCGTATTGTCTGGTTACGATTTACGAAGCTTGAATAGGTATGAATCTTTCCGGGATAGGAAATATCAATGCGGCTTTTTCGGTCACAAAGAACCCCACCCCACCCCGGATAGTTTATTGATCGGCAAATAGGTGGAGGGGAAAGTGCGTCACGTAAAACAAAATGAAGGGTCTAGCTATAATCTGCCGTTACCTGCATAGGAAATTTCGGTTTGAGAACAGCTTTAAAAGATATGGCACGCACAGGGATGCCGAGAAGGCTGGTCGTTCTCGGCAGCCATATCCCTTCTAAGACCGGTCTTGCCTTTGTCGCTGCGTTATGATCACAGGCACAGCACCGTTCCATCACTTGAACTGTCATCTCGACACTTGTCACGTTATCTCGTATGCACTATAAAACACCACATTTTCCCCACTTAGCGCATCACACCTTCACACTCTCCCGTGCTTACCCACATCACCATTTCACGCGCCGATGTGGCACATTTTGAGCACTGGTTTGCACCTCACAACCGACGCAGATTTTCTCACGCACAGCACATCACCATTCACACTGCCGAATGACATGACGCAGCCTCGATTTCTCTGCTCTCCCTCGACCGAAGAACTCCGTCGATTTTTGGTCGCGTTGTCTGTCTCGATGAAAGCCCCGCTGCGCGTGGTCCACCTCCAGCGGCTCCCTGTGTCATCCCCCACCCCACCGCTTCTGGTCCATCACTGCCCGATGTCCCAGCCGCCAGCATCCGCCGCCGAATCGCAGCGCCTCGGGCCCCTCTGGGTTCACTGTATCACCGTATTCGGCTGGGCCGGACGCTGCCGGCGCGCTGATTGGTCAGCTGGCAGTCGGGGGGCGGAGTCTGCGGGAAGCTGACAATGGAGACCGTGTGACCGACAAGACGGTCCGGCCCAAATCGGGCATGGTGTAGTCACGATGGGCTAATGGATGGCTGGTGACGCCAAGGGTAGATGGTGAACGAGCGGAAAACAAAGTGGGGTGCCTTTTGTGGTAGCGATGTGAGGTGTCATAGCAGGAAGAAATAAAAAACTTCAATCTTCTCACACGTAACTTCCACCGATGCAAGCGGTTCGGCTGGCAAAAAAAAAACTTACTCGCATTGAGAAAATACTTACTACCGGCCCTTTGTCCGTCCTGTTAATCCTGCCCTTCGGCCTTCTGATCACACTTTCCACCATGTTGGCATTGGATGATTGTTTTATTTTTTCTTAATTTCTTCTGCTGATACAAATACACTTGGATAATGAATGAATTAAAGAATGCAGGAACGAGGAGTTTGAGTTTTCGAGTTTCGAGGAGATGCCTGGCCTATTCAAATACATTAGCCAGAGGGGTGTGGTAATAACTGGTGTAAGCAAATTGACCACGGTCAAAAATGCATTACCAGAATGCACTAAAGCCAACATTTTGGGATGGTCTCGTTCCTAAGTCGGCTAAGAGCTTCGGTCCAGAAAATAAATTTATCGTTGGCATACAGTAAAATACATACCAAACTCGGCCGGTGATAAATTTTCAAGACCTCAGTCCACTGAACGAGGCCGGTGTAAATAAATTTTCAAGACCGAGGTCCTTACTGAATTTTTGAACGAGGCCGAAGGCCGAGTTCAAAAATCAGTAAGGACTGAGGTCTTGAAAATTTATCACCGGCCGAGTTTGGTATGTATTTTACTGTATGCCAACGATAAATTTATTTTCTGGACCGAAGCTCTTAGCCGACTTAGGAACGAGACCATCCCAAAATGTTGGCTTTAGTGCATTCTGGTAATGCATTTTTGACCGTGGTCAATTTGCTTACACCAGTTATTACCACACCCCTCTGGCTAATGTATTTGAATAGGCCAGGCATACAGTAATCGCTGGTACCTAATTAGCGTATTTTCCCGTGCGCCACTGATAAGCTTTTCCGTTCGCAGCCCGTGTGTCTGTCCCACCTGAGGCTGGAAGGTAGACGGTTGGTATTAGTGATGTCAATCGGATACCAACTTTTTGGTATACCGATACCAAACCGATACCAACTTGGTATTTAGGTCGTATTTCAAACCTCATGCATTTGGTATTTTGTTGGTATCAGGAACCATCATTTATGTACAAGGTGCGCCGTATTTGGAAAAAGTTGGTATTTCTATCAGTTTTACAATTTGGTTTCGTTTTTGGTTTATTCCTATTGTTTCGGTTGGTATTTGGTTTGCTATCGGTTTCCAAATTTTCCGTATTTGAAATCACTAGTTCATAGTTGGCATCCATCCCACCACAGCAGAGTTTATTATTAACCCGCGAGTTGCTGGGGGGGGGGGGCGTTAAACGCCCCCACTTTTTTTGCCGGACCATAGCATAAAAACGGCGCGCCGCAGGCGCGCCAAATTTTAGGTACCTGTAGGGAAATGTTGGAAGTTTATTGTGACAAAGTTTCAAAAAAATCGGTTGGAAAATTTTTGAGATATCGAGGTTTTAGTGACGTCATGATTTCTGAGTTTTCGACCAAAAGCGGCATATGTTCAAAATATCATATAAAATCACAGAATAAACATACAGACATTCCGTAAACGCCATTAGACTGCCAATACCATGAAGAATCGAATGGCTATCTTCGATTATTGATTATCGTTCCGTATTTTCCAAAATCTTGAACTGAATCTTGGCAATTTCTCGTGACTACTTCACGACCATGATACATGCATTTCTTAAATTGAACTTTTTGAGCCAAACACGTACACATATGATAAAATGAACGTCACCATCGTGTTCTACGCCCCAAATTACCCTTAAAACATGTGTCACAGGCTGCCAATATCAGTTTTGCTTTTCGGGGATATGTGCCTACCCGGTTGACCTGACCTTGACCCTGACCTATGCTTGACTGACCCCTACATGGACTTGACACTCTTGTAAGCCTTGTATGATGGATTGTGCACCGTTTTGACAGAGTTTATGACGAGAGGCGCCCATTGCGAAGTCCTGAAGTCCATGCTACTGAAAGCCCGATTTCAGGTGTTTGACCTGACCTTGACCCGACCTGTAACCTCAAAATTCAACTTTAAAAGTATTCATCTGAAGCGTCTTGTCGCGTTCTTTCGTTTGCCGCCTCGTGCGTTTCGCTGCGCCTTTTGGTTCTCGAGTTATCGGCTGGGGGCGTTTAACGCCCCTCCCCAGCAAACGGTGGGTGGCGAAATACCCCAGCAACTGCCGGGTTAAATGGTCCGCTTTTGTGTTGGAGGCCATAGGTTCCTATCTAAATACTTATCCTTTTGTTTTCCACTCTACTTATCGTTATCCTGTTGGGTCCACCCCAGCTCAAAGAAACCAACCCTTTCATTGGCTCCGATAGGCCCGGCAGTTCTCATCGGCCGGATGGTCGTTGTTATAATTGCGTATCAGTGACGGGGTAGCAAGCACAGCTTTTGCGGCCATGGCCCATTCGTGTCCATTGCTCCACGACAGCTGACCGGTGTGGGTGCCGATGGACGGCAATCGTTCCGTTGTTCATCGCAGGCTATACGTTCTGGTAACTCAGACGTGTCCTTCGGTCCTCTGCTGTTAAGTTCGCGTCGGTTCAATTGTCTTTCCGCAGTTTATGTCACAATATACGAGTCTGTGGCGTCTCCCGTGTCACTGTCATATGTGTCCGCCGTGTGCGTCTGACCGAGCTGATCATCTGACCCGTCTGACTGAACCGCCCCTCTGTATCCGTCCGACTGAGCTGCCGCTGTGACTCGGTTCACTCATCTCACCGGTCCGACTGAGCCACCCGTGACCCGTCTGACCGCACCGCCCATCTTACCCACCTGATTGTCTGGCCGATCTGCCCCTCTGATCGGTCTGACAGAGCCGCCCCTGTCTGTGACCCGTCTAACCTCCACTGTGTAGTGTGTACCCACCGCAGGAGGAGGCTGACAGCGACTGTGACTCGTCTCCTGAGCCTCCCCTCTGATCTGACCCTTCTAACCTCCACTCTGTGCCCACCGCAGGAGGAGGCGGACAGCGACTGTGACTCGTCTCCTGAGCCTCCCCTCTGATCTGACCCTTCTAACCTCCACTCTGTGCCCACCGCAGGAGGAGGCGGACAGCGACTGTGACTCGTCTCCTGAGCCTCCCCTCTGATCTGACCCTTCTAACCTCCACTCTGTGCCCACCGCAGGAGGAGGCGGACAGCGACTGTGACTCGTCTCCTGAGCCTCCCCTCTGATCTGACCCTTCTAACCTCCACTCTGTGCCCACCGCAGGAGGAGGCGGACAGCGACTGTGACTCGTCTCCTGAGCCTCCCCTCTGATCTGACCCTTCTAACCTCCACTCTGTGCCCACCGCAGGAGGAGGCGGACAGCGACTGTGACTCGTCTCCTGAGCCTCCCCTCTGATCTGACCCTTCTAACCTCCACTCTGTGCCCACCGCAGGAGGAGGCGGACAGCGACTGTGACTCGTCTCCTGAGCCTCCCCTCTGATCTGACCCTTCTAACCTCCACTCTGTGCCCACCGCAGGAGGAGGCGGACAGCGACTGTGACTCGTCTCCTGAGCCTCCCCTCTGATCTGACCCTTCTAACCTCCACTCTGTGCCTGCCGCAGGAGGAGGCTGACAGCGACTGTGACTCGTCTTTTGAGCCGCCCCTGTCTGTGACCCGTCTAACCTCCACTCTGTGCCCGCCGCAGGAGGAGGCTGACAGCGACTGTGACTCTTCCCCGGGAGGAGGAGCACCTGACCTGACGCAGGGAGGCACCGATACGGAGGCCGAGCATACCACCTGCGCCGCTACCGCCGCCCCCACGCCGTCCACCGCCGCGGAGCATATAGGTGAGCGAGCAGTAAGAAAACAAACAAGCAAATAAACAAACAAACCAGCATAGGTGAGCTGCGCGGGGGGCGCGGCTTGCGCTGTGTCTGGACGTGTGCCGGACGCTCAGTGGCGATGTGGTTGGTGACGATGAAACTATGTAGACTCCCTGAGTCCCTAGACCTAGTTACTCCATATGGAAGTAACCATGGCTGAACGCATGGTGGCACTTTTTGCTTGTATTTCATCTTGCGAAGGATAATGCGCATTACAAACGCACGGCCTTAGCTCCAGACTGATTCGTATTTAGGGCATCCGAAATCATAGACACGAATACCATTCGAGCTTTCCATCGGACGGGATTCTTCTTTTCGTCTGCTGGTGATATTCTCCTCTTCCCCAATCATTTGGTAACCCGGACGGCTGTGGAGTGCCTCCTGATTTCCCGTGGCTTTGACCGATGTTTGGGTCTAATGGCCACCTTTGCCAGGGCACCGGTGCAACACTTCCGTACAAAGGCAAAACCGATTACGTTCGAGTGACCTCTAGCCCGTCATAATCGTATTTGCCTTTGCACAGCAGCGTGACAGCTATTGCGGCGTATTCGGCTCCTCAGTGGTCCCACACTGTGGAGTATCGTTCGCTCATCCGCGGCAGTCGAATGGTGTAAGGTCCTGCTGGATGTCGCAAGTTATTGGGGATGACTTTGTCATACAGATTCGCTTTCGGGATGTCAGCGGCAGGTGACCTGCGTTTGCAGTGCTAGACTAGTCTGCTCCTACCAGCCATGACGGTGTGGCTCGCCGACTGGAGCGTCACCTACAACGAACACGTCGGACGGCTCGGCACCGCCATCTGTGAAATTGTCAACTCAGCTCATCATAGTGAACGAGCCCAGGTGCTTTTCCAGTCCCGAACACGGTCGAAGAACGGTAATAAATCTTCCAAATCCGGAGTGAGATTGCTGTGTGACCATATTTTTAAGAAGCATTATTATTATCATTGCCTGGACTTCTCTCTTGAATGTCATGCTGGTCATGTGTTGTCGCCACCAGTGTCCGCTGCTTCTCCATGGCGGATCGAGACGTCTGAGCCGAACATAAGTGCTAATGAACTAGCAACTCGGCATAGTAAGACATTGTCATGAATTATTTGATTAAAAGTAATTGCCTGGATTTGTATTGGAGATGATTTTCATCCTTGATAGCGATCTACTGATGCATTGCGTGACTTTCACTTCCACTGAGCGTGCAACTGGGTGAAGCAAGTAACCCCAATGGAACCCAGGGCACTAACCTAACAGTACAGGAGCGTTGCTGTCATCTGGTTGATTTTGCATCGAGTTTTGTGTTATTCTGAAGGTGCCCTCCCAGCTTCCTTCTCGCTGATTACTTAGTGATTTTCCACCGGACGATGCCACTGTTCCTTGCGGGCGTCCCTTGGTGTCGAACCGACGTGCCTGCGCACCACTCTTAGAAACCAGGCGTGCTGCGTCATGCCCTGTGCATTACACAACACACTCACCTCAGCGTGACTCAGCCGCGTCCCACTGAGTGTACCGATTGAGTGTGCCCTGTGCCCGCCCCATATCCGCAGCGTTATCGTCGTGCTGCCGCGTCGCCCGTGGTGCCTATCGCTTCTCGGTGGCGCCTCTGGCGGCGGCGACGCGCACTACTCGGCTGTGACGTCACGTTGGGTTGGGGTGATAGGGGCGCTGGGTGGGCCGGAAGCGATTGGGGCGGCGTATCAGCCAGCCCAGAGCTACCGGATGGATGGCAAACATGTGACGCCTACTGACACCGGGCGAAAATAGCCATTCTTTGTCATCAGATATCCGTGCTGAAGAATTCTAAAGAAAAACGATTTTCAGCATAAGTTCAGTATGCAAAACTCGTGGAGAGTACCTATTATTCTGCTGAAGTTCGGTAATTGTTCCTCGAGCCATATTCAACCTATACACCGTATGACTTCCGTGCAAGTCGAGCGTCCTCACCAATTTAGGCGTAAGCCCACATTGAACTACGGCACGGTCTGAGCCAACGTCCAATCCATCAAGGACGTCGTGCGCCCAGGCTCGTATCATTTAGTGACAGCGCGTCATCAGTGACTGTTAGTGTGTCTTCTATTACCTACTACTGCCGTTTGTGGCATGCCACTGCCTGTTTGATATATGACTGTTCAGCTTGTGTGTCGTGTATGACTCTACTGCTATGCCTGATTTAACTGTGGCAATGTGTCATGTATGACTGCAGTGTTGTGTCACCAGTAACTGTGTTGATGTGTCATTGATGAGTGTGCTGCTGTGCTAGATTTCACCGTGGCAATGTGTCATGTGTGACTAGTGTTGTGACATAGTCTGCGTGCCAATGTGTCATCAGTGACTAGCGTTGTTTCATGTATGTGTATCATCAGTGAGCATGCCAATGTATGTAGATGTGACTGCACGATGACTTTGACTGTGATTGTGCCAATAGCTGTGACTGTCCCAATTGAATCGACGACTGCACATTGACTAATTATGTCTGACTTTGTGTCTGTGGCGTGTCTTACAGACTGGTCGTCGCCACTGCAGACCGCGTCCCACTCACAGTCCCTGCCGGAGGGTCTGGTACTGCTCAACAGCCCCACATCCGTGATACGCCGAGTGGCCAGCGAAATCGGTACGGGTCACCACTGACCACTGACATGCATCGCCCCACCCCCAGGTCTACACTCTACACTGACCCACCCCTTATGCAGAGGTCACCGCTGACATACACCGTCCCCACCCTCACACTGAGCTCTACACTGACCGGGCAACAGTTTCACATCCGTAATACGCCGAGTGGCCTGTGAAATCGGTACGGGTCACCACTGACACACTACCCCCACCCTCACACAAAAGCGATCACTAGCACTGACTGACCCCCACCCCTCAAACTGAGGTCGTTACTGACCGGTCAACAGTCCCTCATCCGTGATACGCCGAGTGGACAATGAAATCGGTAATCAGTTTTGACTAAAACTGACAATTGAATATGGAAGCACTTTATTTTGGATTGATAGGAATCACTCGAAACGATTCATTCAGCTTGTTAAGCATTGGAATCGGTTTGTCAACTTTGAAGTGACTTGGTGTGGTTGAATGGCTCAAAACTACATCAAAACGTATTCGTATAAAACGTATTTGCATTCTGGTGATATTTTTTTCTGCACTCCCCCACCAGTTGCTGCCCCTGACAGGTTGAGTCTAACACCTCATTTCACTCTCTCCCTCAGCGGGCGAGCCGCCGTGCGCCTCGGAGCCGACCGACCTCTCCAAGTCGCGTGTCACGCTCATAGGGACGCCGACGACGGGTCCGCCGGGCCGAGCGTGAGCCGCCGTACCACCCAGTGGGTATCTTCGTTCGTCTTCCGGGGCCTGGTGTCGGACTGTGCGGCAGTCGGAGGAGGGGGGGGGGGGGGGAGGGTGCGTCAGTGGAGAGGTGGGGACAGTCACTGTCTGTCCCCCTCAGCTCTGCGTGCGTGCCATGCCTCGAGAGCGCTGACGTCATGTTTCTGGAAGCGGCGGCGCTGTTACGAAATATTATGTCTCATCGGGAGTTTCCCAGTGTGACCGCTCCCTTCCCCTCCCAGCAGAATCCCGGGAATCGTCCTGAACACATTCCTGGGACATTCCTGTGGTCGGTGATCCTGTGTCGCCGCTTCCGCCTGGACTGACGGTCCTGCGCGGTGACCTCCCGGTGACCTGGGTCACTCGGACGGAGAGGAGGGAGCCCTGTACCTGGTACTTTGTCGACAATAATGCAGCTCTGAGGTATGTTTTTGCACGACCAGAGTGACCTGATTATTGTGAGTGCCTGCTGTTACGGTTTGTCGTCTCAAGCGACGACTTGGTGCCATATCGCGGCAGATGCTGCCATGTTGACAGTTTTGGGACCAATGCTGAGCGCTTTCGGAGGCCGTGATACTGCCTGTCGGTGGAACCCATCATGGCTTTGTATTCAGATAACACCGCTTCATAGTGCACCATCTAACCACATCTCATTGACTATAGGTCACCTCCCCCGTATCTGGCTCAGCCTTTAGTCACGCTCACTTATCATCGTGTTGTTGTTATATAAGCATACATTAAACACTATTTTTCTGGTTTTCTTTGTTCTGTGAGCTAATACTACGTCACGTCCACTTACTCCACTTGCCTTTTAGAACGGTTAATTATTATTCCAGTATGTACTTATGAAGTTTGCTCCGTGAGAGGTTCTGCCAGCTATTCACAATCTCAAACCTTGTTACTATGATGTGAACTTTTTTAGATAAGATTTGCAGCATTGTATTTGGACCAGTAGTTTTTCGCTAGTGTTTGATGACTTGTATGCCGTGCATCTGACCGAGTCTGGGCAGACAGACCGAATGTCCAGTGTTAAGTTTTGAGTGAAAATATATGAGATGACGGACAATCCTTGCCTGCAGATGGCTGCATTTGGAACAAATCAGATTGACAATACCTATTAGCCGAACTATATGAGAGTCGTACTAAGTGCGTTTTATGCGAAACTTCAGTCAGTTTGCGTCAAGAAGGCGTCATTTTCAGTGGCACATACTGACAAACGACAACCGTCGGTACTTCGTACAGCTATCGGTAGTAGGTGATCGATAAACCAACACAATTGGCTAGGTGGGCCCGTGGCAGTTTAACCTTTTGGACTGTCAAAACGGTTGAACGCAAGACCATTACTTTTCACGTTTCGGTCGGATGCTGATATCGCCGATATCGATCGAAATGACACTTCTTCCGTGACTGGTGTCATGCTAATGCGGTTGTGTTAGGCCGAAAGAGGCCTTTTGATTCGCGATTGAAGCCAAGTGACATATAGTAACGGTGCTGCAAAACGCTCAATGATGTCCTTTTGCAAAACTTTGAAGCCTATGTCGAATACCGCGCAAAAATGTTATCAGCTACCTTGGCTCGTTATGAGTATTTGTCCACGACCGATTACTTTGCCCATCATCAGCGAGGACCATCCTGCGGACGATGCTCGCAGTCAGGTTTCGAGTCTCGTAGGCGCAGGCTAGCTCTTGTTCCTGGCAGCTGACGATGGTTGGATTCTGTGGCAATGTAGGGTACTAAATCGGGCTGCCAAATATCATGTCACTGTGTGTAGTGTGTTGCAATGCCAATGCGTACCGAGGGCCGAGCCCGCCCCATTCATTGTCTATTTCCTGCCGTTCGGGCGAGCGGGCGGCGCTGGCTTCCCATTGGCCGGCGGCCTCGGCGTGAATCACCAGCTGACGGCGGCGGCGGAGCGCAGTCAGCTGATTGTTTACCTCGCCGCGCGGCCGCCGGCGCTGGTCGCTCGGCGTCGGCCGCCAGTGGACGCCGCGGCCCGGTGGGGAGAGCGTGCAGCGCGCAGACCGCCATGATCAGCGGTGACGCCAAGCGAGACGGTCTCAAACTGAACTTTTGCCGCAGCATCAGTGCGCCGAGCGAGGCGAGCGTGCCAGTGGCGCCGCGGCCGGTGACCAGCTCCCTGCCCGCCTCGCCGAGCGCCGAGGCAGCGGAGATGAAAAAGACGATGGTGCTGAGCCGGACTCGCCAGTGCAGCAGCGCCGAGCTGTCCAAGCGGCTCGCCTCGGGCGGCAACAACTCCTTCGTGCTGCTGGATGTTCGACCGTTCATGGCGTTCAACACGTCTCACATCCAGGGCGCCATCAACCTCAACTGCATGGACCGCTTCAACCGGAGACGACTGCAGCTGGGAAAGGCCTCGCTGGCCGAGCTGGCTTCCAACAAGGAGGCCAAGGAGCTGCTGAAGCGCAGGACGTTCCGCGAGTTCATCGTCTGTGACGAGAGCACCTCGGACCTGGAGCTGCTGCCGTCTGGCCATCCGCTGTTCATGGTGTTCAGCGCGCTGCTCGAGGACAACCGGGACCCGGTGCTGCTCAAAGGTGAGCTAAGGGCCGCCTTGGGCCGCCTCCTCCCCACGGCGGAGCGCGTGACATCACCAGTGAAAATAGACCACCCAGCCGAGGCGGCGCCACGGCGCAGAAGGGGTCCGAGACGCCGAGCGGCTGGCGTCATAGTGACGTCACCACTCGACCCCGAGGACGGCGGGGAGAGAGAGAGAGAGAGAGAGAGAGAGAGAGAGAGAGAGAGAGAGAGAGAGAGAGAGAGAGAGAGAGAGAGAGAGAGAGAGGGGGGGGCAAGGAGAGTCCTAGGGCTGGGTGTATGCGAGGTTTTTGGTGGGTTCCAATAGCAATTTGACTCTGGGAAGACTACACATTTCCTGGAGCATCTTTTCCCTGGAGCATCTACACATTTCCAAGCATCTTTTTATGCTTCCGCTTCAGACTTCACCTTCCAGTGACCGTCCTATGCGCATTACTTTGGACAGTCAGTCATAACGGTTCTGTACCTAATTAAATAAAGTCATACCTACTACACGTGCACCGAGGGACAGCGCCTCGGCTCTGGGAAAGCCGGTGCCGCAATCGTTTTGTCAAGTCGGTCCGTCATATTTCATCAGAACCTCTGCACTGTTTGTGATTTGATTGTCGAGCGGCCAGGTTTCTGAGAAGGGCTGACGTCACTGCACCCTTTTTCCCGGTGTCGGCTGAGGTCACTGGCGGCGCTGGGCGACTAACGGCTCGGTGACGTCACGCCGAGTCGGCCTGTGAATGTGATCCGCTGGGGTGCCTACCGAGCGGCCGACCGGCGACCGGCGACCCCGCTCGCTGGCATACCGCCGCGCCGTGACTCAGCGCGACCCCTGACCCCTCCACGGACAGGGTCCGGCAGACTGCGCCGCACCGCCAGCGGCCAGTGCAGCCGGCATGGAACGCGTCTGGACCGCGCCGAGCAGTCGCCAGAGGCGGCGGTAAACGGCCGACAGATTTATCGGCACACCGCGCAGCACTACCATCCAGCAGGGCCGTCTGGCTGGCTCGCCGGGCTTCCACCCTGCCCTCACCCCTCCCCTGGTCCCCTCCCTGCCTCCCCGTATTGGGTGACCGGCCGGGGAGTAGGGTGCGACCGTGCGTGTGCGTGACTCATGCGTGCTCCCTCGCGGCGCGCCCCGCCGTGTATATCGCCGCGGTGACTCACTGCTCGTGGCTGCCCACCCCGGTCTATTTACGTCCCGACGGACGCCCCCCCCCCCCTCGCCTGTCCCCTGATTGGGCAGGATCGGATGCCCAGCGACGCGTCCCCCCCCCCCCGCTCCGCCCAGGTGAAGGCTCCCCCACTTACCTACCCTCATATGCGTGTGCGTTGCCAAGCGACGAACGCTTACAATGGCGAGGGGCCGGCGGCCTACAAGGATTAGTCACTCAGCCGACAAGGCTGGAGCCCTTGAAGGAGAGTTCTCCACGTCCAGGCCGTGTGGGCTGGTACGTAAATGTCGCTGAAGTGAATCTGAATGAATTCCTTATACGTCATCCAAAGATAAACAGATGGATGGCGCGAGGCGCGACTAGCCCTGGCCGGGGCGGAGCCGCGGATCGACCGTCTCTCCCATAAGGAGCTGCGGCCTCCTGTTATGGGGAGCGGCGGCGATCCCCGGCTGAATCACTTGTCTCTCGGACGTAGCGCGTGGCCGGTCGGGCAGCTCTGGACAGTGGAACCGTGGGCTGTGCGGCGCGTGGCCGGTCGGGCGGCTCTGAACAGTGGAACCGTGAGCTCTGCGGCGCGTGGCTGGTCGAGCGGCTCGCTCCGTGCAGTGGCGTGCCTGCAGTCACCCGCTCGGCCTCTGGGCCGGCCGGCCGGCCACCTGCGCCGCCCGCTGCGAGCCAGCGGTGACCTCATCGCTGAGACTCGCCGCTCGGCCGGCTGGAGACGGAGACGGCTCGGGCCGGACGCGCCAGGCAGGTCTGACAGACCGCAGCGCGCGAGCCGAGTCTCAGTCCCCGCTGTGGACAATGTAGCGCCGAGTTATGCAACACAAACACTGTCCTGTCGGCCTTACTCCTACCATGATTGCTTTCGGACTTTTTAGAACTCTTTCAACTCGAGCCTTGGCTGGAATTTCCTTTCTCGTCTTAAAGAGCACACTATACCTATCATGGATACCTGATGTAGTTACGCCATTTTGAAAGTCCATCGCCTCAGTTTGGATAACATTTTCTCCATTGCCCTGGCCTGTAGCCGGTTCATGACGTGATGAGACGGTGGAGAGCCGGTCAGCTGCCAGAGGCCGTTGGAACGTCCTGGTGTCCTTTTTTTCTGTCTCTCACCGCTGCGACGCTCGGACCGAGCGGACTTTCCGGGCAGGTGCGGCCGGCCGCTGCAGAGCGGCGCCCGGGGCGTTCCGTGGGCGTCCTGTAGGCGCCGGGATGTGTCCAGGGCGTCCTGTGGGCGCCGGGACGTGTCCAGGGCGTCCCGAGGTCGCACCCGTCGTCTCAGGCACGTGTCGCACGAGCCGAGAGAGCCGGGCTATCGACTGACATTGGGAAGGTCGTCAGAGGACGACTCCTACGCTGCACCTTCTCTATGGGCCCCGCTGGCGGCTGCAACGGCACTGTCCTAGCTCAGCTCGGACCGCCAATCGCAGGCTGAATGGCGCTGACCATGCTGTAAAGAATGCGTGCCTTTGGCGCATTTCCGCACAATACAGGACAGCCTGCTATGCGCTGGTGTATTATCAGCTCTCTCCTCGGTCTGTCATGATTTGGCCCATTGTGTTGAGCTCATGACTGGCACTTGCTTCGCGTTTCATCATTTACCACCGCTCTGTGAAAGGCGCCCGCTCGCGGAAGCGGAAGCCTCCTCTCAAGAAAACGCCGTACTTTCTTCCGGGAAAAGCTGTTCCGGGCCGTCGGCGCTCGACGCGGCCGCTTTCTACCGACCTGGCCGGGCGGTGGGCGGCGGGGGCGGGGGCGGTTTCTCCGGGCGGCTGGCTGCTCCCGGTGATCATACCCGCAGCTCGGGCGCCGCCCTGCTGCAGGCGGTGACCGTCAGCCGGGTGCGGCGCCTCGCGACTGCTGTCGCCGCCGTGTCGCGTGGGAGCGTGTCCCATCTGGCGGCCATCTGTCGTGGGCGTCGCACGGGCGGGTGGGCGGCGCCCGCGACACACCGGCCGGCACAGCGCTGCAGCCCTCGGCTGGACGGCCGACGGCACTCCCGAGTCCGGGACGGAGCTGCCGCTTGGTGCAAACCTCACCCGTACCCCTTGCCACTGTACCGCTCGCGTTTCTATGATACGAAGCTCAGTACAGTGATGCTATGTGGATCCAGATAACAGCGATCACGGAAGACAGTAAGCTATTGGTTGTTGACTTGCTTGGAAGCTGCATATTTGTTTACCTACTTCAATGCTTAGGCCCATTATCCATTGCATGAGGCTCTTCCAGCTGACCGACCCCGGCACTGACCTGGTGGGACGGCTCAGGCCCCTCATCGACATCCGGCAGTAGCTCTCGCCGCTCCGGAGACGGGAGAGAGCCGGCCGTCAGCTCGTGTCGCTCCGTACGGGACCGGTCGCTCTCCCGTCCGTCCCGAACGCGGTAACGGTGTCGCCGCCATTCAGGCCGTCCGGCTCAATGGGACCGCCGTGCTCGACGGCGTGACGGCCGGCGGAGCGTGCAGCCCGGGACACGGCGGCAGCGGTCCGCACCAGACTGGTGATGGGGTGACACTTTACGACCAGCACCGGCCGCTATGGCAGGCACGGGGCTGATGATTCTCTTTACGGACGGGTCTCTGACTATTCAAAGTCACCTTCAGAATATCGTTTTTTTTAGGCAACGCATAGATGAGGAAGCTTTCTTGACATTTGAATACGAGCGCGTAGCTTTTGGACGTTTTGGAATTGCTTTTAATCAAAGCACATGGGTATCTGTCATGTGTTGTCGTTTATCGTTCATTTTTTGCGCGTCTCTGCCGCCTTCTGCTCTGTAGTTGACAGCTACAATGGTCATGTTGACGGGTGGCGTTGTCGGCTGCGGCGGCGGGCTGTTGACGGGTGTTGTGTCAGGTCGTGTCAATACGGCGGAGACCCCAGGTGAATGGAGACGGAACGTGTGCGCCGTTTGTGTGCGAGCAGGCAACACGGTAGTCAGAACCCGGAAACGACAGTCGACATGCCTCCGGCACCCGTCTCCGCTTCCTCCCACGCCGCCCCATCCCCACCGCACGGAGAGAGCCCGCGCCGCGCCGGTCTGTCGTTCGCACCTCCCGTCGCCCCCCCCCCCCCGTCAATCCCGCGGCGCCGTCAACACCCGGTGTCGCGTCCGTCAGTTGACACGCGCGTGCGTCCGGTGGCTCGCACCAGAACCGGAAGCGGGGCCACGCACAGGCGCGGTGTGGGCGCCGCGGGCAGAGCCGATCCCTGTCCGGAAGTTCGTTTCCGATATTCATTTCCGGTGGCTGTGGAACACCCAGTGATGCTGCGGGTTCCGGTGTGGTCGACCGGCCGTGTATCACGCCCAATGGTGATGTGAGAGCTTAGCCGCTATGGTTTCCTCCCACTGCCTCTGCGGCTTACTCGCTGTGTCATCCTGCCTGTCCGGTATGTTGCGTAGTAATACTGCATTGCGTTTTCCTGTCCTGTCAGCGGTCACGGTTCCGTCGTCCGTGCTGACTTCATGCTCTTCTGTCTGTCCGGCCGGCCGGCTGTGCTGTCCGGTTCGCATTGATGTCCTTTCCGGTTCTGTCTCGTTCGGCTGTGCCGTGCCTGTCCTGTCCGTCCGGCCGGCTCCGAACTCCGTTCCTCGGTCGCGGCGCGGGCCTGGGAAGGCAGGAGCGCCGGTCGGCTCGCTCCCACCAGCTGGGCCGACCGGAACTCGTTCGTCTGACCTGGTCACGCACCGACACCGTTCCGAGCGGGTCGCCGGACCGGCGCGAGACGCCGTGGAGCCGCTCGGACCGGCCCGGGCCGTCCTCAGGCTCAGCGTTGGCTGGTGACCTGCAGTCAGCACTGGGCCGGCGCGGCGGCTCCCTGACAGCGACTGTT